TATGTCAAACAAAAGAAGACGTTCTCTGAGTTCCACGCAAAAGTCTCTTTATACCGTACTGCTCCAGTATAAACTACCTCAGTACATATGAGCTGACTCAACTGTTTATCTTCATTTATTGTGTAATGTAGTTCTGTATTGTTTACTGTGTCACTTTGTTTGGAACTATTAGTAAGAGCGGTAAGTCTTTCTCTACATAAACAATCTATGGGAGTTGATGTCACCCTCTACTATTAACAAGCTCCTTAGTGTAAATGACTGACAGCAGGTGGATAGTGAACAGCAATCTAAATCTTCCAGTTAAACTTTAAAGCATCATATCATTATTACCGCTGTAGAAACATGCTGGTTCAAAATGGCGGACTCTGTGGAAGAGGATCGTCTTATTCTAAGGTAACAAAAACACAACGGTTCTTATTTTCAGGTGATTACACATTAATGAAAACATACTAACAATATTCAATCTCTCCTAATAGATCCTCCTAAATCCTACACACTGGTCATTTAGCCTACAGTCAGATTTAAATTGTAGGTTTTCACCAGACAGCAACTAAACACTTCATACAAGCTAAAGCACATTTCACTTCCTAGCTGCAGCTGTGTTAATGCAGAGTGTAATGTATGGGACTTTTCACACCACCACCAGCAGTCTTTCATCAGTGCTGGTGTGTGAAACCCTGTCCACCCATCACATTTCTCCATTCTGGCACGCTGCCAAGCTCAGTAAAAACCTGAAAGAGAGAGAGGGGGGGCGGTGGTGGTGGACAGGGGGGGTAGCCTTCAAACTCTCCCCCTCCACCTCCCACCCGCCTCCCCACTAATGTCTTTGAGGAGCGGTGAAGTGCCTCTTCAGCTCAGAAGCCTCTTATTACAGAGCAGCACACCGTCGGCTGCCAAATGCACACACACACACACAGAAAGAGAGAGCGTACGTGCATGAATGTGATGATTACTGTAAACACTGCGCAATCTGTCTCTCAGTAAACACACAGAGCATTAAACAGTGAAGTGTGTTCAGTAAAGATGGGGGAACTATAGGGAGGGCAGAGGGAAAATGTCTCTACAAGCCGGGACAAGCACAGAGACCTTGGAGCACTTGACTAATCGTTATATACACAGGTAGAGAGGAGCAACTCACTGCTGACAGAACCATTTCTATAGAATTTATCTCCTTCATAACAGGACTGCTGTTACAGATCTACACATTTATAATCATTTATCCCGACCTTGTCTCACTGCAGGGTTTACAGCCAGACTGCCTACATTCCCCTTCAGCTTGATGGTGATGAATTTCTTCACAACACGAATGACCCACAACCCCAGAGCCACAATATGAAACTGTTGGATGAAACAAAATACTTTGGTACAGTTAAAGGTGGGGTCAGTCCTTCAGTGGAGAGATAGTTGATAGTTGAGTCTCATTCCCAGGTCGCCAAATAGGCTACCAACACTTTGGGTACATGGGAGAACATGGTACGTTTGTGCTCCGAGGTAGTAAAATGCAGATACTTTGGGTTGCCACAGCGTTGGTATTAGGTGACCTGAGAATAAGAGTCAACAGTCAACTTTCTCCATTTTAGCACGTAATTCCTGTTTTGTGTTTCCCATGTTTCCTTGGACAGTGTTTCCCTGCTGCGCTGTGGTAAAAGAGGAACGTCATACTAAAAATAATCAAACTCTTTGCAAGATATACACGTGATTTAACTAAAGTCTCTGATTAACTTTAGGTTAACTTGATCAGAGAATATTTTTTGCACAGAATGAGTGCTGTGGATCTCTTATTGATGTTTTCGCAGCCACTATGGACAGCAACCAGTATCTGTCCCCTTATACAGTACATATGAGAACTCCTAGATTTCTACTTGAGAGAAATGTTATAGTCCTCTTTATTCCTTGTTAATTAAACCAAATGTAGCCGGTCTGGCCTGACGCTTCTTTAATTTGACTCTGTGTTGTGTTCGGCTTTTGTATGGAAATGGATGACAGACATCTTCTGCTTTGCCAGTTGGATTTTTGATTCTTTTTGTGGTTTCATTTAATTAATAAATGTTTAAACATGAACAAACTAAACAAAAAATACCATGTATAAAAATAACATTTCCTATTCACAAAAAAGAACAAAGGGGGAGCTCTCACATTACCTGGCTGTACACACACAACATTAAATTAGGTACGCAACGTCTTGGTTTCCCACAGGCACACCTTTAAAGAGAGAGAAACCACGATGCTGTGCTGCTTTCATTTAAAGCTGGCCTGGAGAAAGGTTAGGCCTTAACATTTACACAAAAAGGTGCGTGCTACGCAATAAACTGTGTACACGATTTAAAACAAAAA